TTTGAAGTTTGGATATGAAATGCGTAATGATTTTTTCATTGCTGTTAAATAAACAATTGAGCGGGGCCGAGTTGGCAAAGTTTCCCAGCTGGGAAATGATACTCTCGCCCCGGAAGAGCCCCTCATTTATTATACACTCAGCGGGCTGAGACGAGCTCCAAAAGTTGCTTGCGTGTATGGGACTAATCAAATTCTGTCATTTAATTTGGCCAACTTGCAGGGCATAAAGGTTAAATGTTGCTAATGCGAAGAGGGGCTCCAGAAACCTTTCGGGGGTGACCATTAGGCATTTAATTTATGGCGGGTTAGAGTCCCTTTAAATACGTAAATTCCCATACATCCTTTGTGAATTTCATATAAATATATATCGCTTGAAGCGAGGCATGCAATTATTACCCGAAGTTTCCTTTCCTAATTGGACACTTCAGTTTGACATTTTAATATATTATGAGCATAGTTTAATATTAATATATACTTTGATTAGGTTTTTTTTATAATATAATTATAATAATAATTTACTCTATTTTATTATCATTTTATATTTCAAGTATGATAAGCAATTACCTTTTAATTAAACTAAATTAAAGCTTATAATCGCCTTAAAGCTTGACTATTCAACAAGAGTGAGAAGATTAATTTAACATTTTAAGATAATATTATACTTTGCATTCGTTTCATCTTCGGCTTATCGGCCATATGCTGCATGGATTGGCTCACCTTTGTGTGATTTTTCAATAAATTCCCGAGCTGCGACGATGGCGGCGGCGGCCTCAGAAAAAGATATCCAAAACACGTGACAGATTTGCTTGGATTACATACGCATTACACACACACACACGCAGCACGCAGGCACACACCGCACTGGCACACAAAGCGACCGCACCACTACTACACAGCAGCCTGAGCGTGTGCGTGAGAATATCTGTGTGGATTAACTTCAAAAGAAGCCGCACAATTCAATGAATTCGTTATGCTGTTATTCTGGATCGGGGATATCCATGAGAATGCACTGCGCGAAGGCCGGGCTCGATCGGGCCTCACAAACGCGGTTTAAATCAAGCATACGCCAGGGCGCCACAGGAATCAAGCATACGCCACCGGGCCAAAACAACCGACGCCCGAGAGTCACACTGGCGGCGGCAGCACAGTCACTAGCGGCAGTCACAGTCACAGTCACAGCTGCGGAAGGAGCACACACACAGAGAGCGTTGGACACAACTGAAGCCCACGACAACGGCATTCGAAGTGGCAACGGATGAAGCCAGCAGCCACGACGACCCCAAAAAAGCTCGGGAGAATCGCGCCAGAAGCCGAACAGTTGTCTCGGCACATCGCCATCTAAGAGACCTGGAGCGACTCTACAATCCGGCGAAAGAGAGCCGTTTGGGTGCGACTGCCGGCGGGCATGCGCACCGCGCAGGACTCACCAACGTGGCTCTTCCAGTGCCTTACTTTACGCCGTGGATGTGCTACGTCCCAAAAACAAACAGCAACAGCTGTTCCGCCAAGTGAGCCCAAAAATCCAATCCAAAAAAGCTGTCCTCTGACGCACTCTCACCAGATACTCCCAGATGTCAGAGAGTGTGGAATGTGTGTGTGTGAGTGGCGTGTCTTAGGTCAGAAACGTCGGCATCTGAAAGTGATTCGGGGGCAGGAAGCACGCGTTGGGGATAGGACTCCAGAGTAATGGGTGCCGGGTGCTCTGGCTACACGCAGAACCTTTGCCGGTGTTGGTGGAATTTTTAATTATGATAAATGCCCATTCATAAAAATGAGTGGCATACATTTGCGTTGCGTGTTAATTTTTATATTTTGTATATTTGGTATATATTCTGCATAATTATTATTGCCATTATGATTTCTCCTTTTTTTTTATTTCTTCACTGTCTTTGGTTATATTTTTTTTTGTCTTTTGTTTGGTTTATTTTTTTTTTCTTTTTTTTGCTGTCAGTAATTTGTTAGCTCCATCTTTGATGGTTTCCCTCCCTTTCTGTTTGCACTTGACAGGCCAAGATTTATGCGACTGCAGTTGGTGGTGATTGCTGGAGGAAGTGCTGAGGGGTGATTGAGGGTAGAGGGTGAGTGGTAAATGGAGAAGGGTAAGTGGTAAGAGGTGAATGGTGAGGGGTGAGGGGTGCGAGGTGGGTGGTCGATGATCGACTGCCGGCTGCAGGTGTTGATATGGCCCAGATGTGCCTCAATCACCATCAGCGTCAGTTAATAAAATCACAGCACGACATTTGATGAATTGTTGTGATTTTTGCCACTGACGTTTTTGAGGGCAAATCGTTTATCCGGCTATTAGGTAAATAGTGGTAGACAATTAAGTAGGGGGTATCGAACGTCCATTTCTTTTGCAAAAAATCACAAAAGTAAAACAGTTTAATACGAATTTCTTGAGTCCAATTTGTGGAAATGATTTATAACTAAATGTATAACATTAAATCATGATACTACAAGTGCCAAGGTACTCACAGAATTATGATATACCACCACTGGTCGGGGTTATCCTTTTGTTACCAAAAAGGGCGAGGGCTCCAAGTCTGGCATCAACTTATCTCAATGGAATGGCCGAGCACTCGACAAGAACCAAATTGACCAAAGTTAATTTAACCACTGTAAACAAGCCGGGACTCAAGCATCCGGGCCCTTGAAATGCCTCGCTGGCCACGAGGAGGAAATAAGGTGCCCAAAAGGGACCAGGATCGGGATGAACAAGAGAGGTTGTGTGCGACACACCACGTATACGAATACGTACTGTTGTAAAAATCAATTGAAGCGCCAACAAACGCTTCAATCAATTTTACTTTGGCAAACATTGAGTGCAAAATAAATCACGGCACACCGACTCGAGACGATGCTGGATGCTCTCCCCGAGATCCCTGGATTCTGGATACTGTAATCGAGGTACCGGCTAAGGGGGACCGATCCCCACCGAGCACATCCTTGTGTTTATCTTATTTATGCAAAGCTGTGGCAAACACCAACAATAACAAGCCAGGATGTGCGGCAAGGCAGCTAAAAAATGAATGAATTCAATGAAATGCGGGTAAAAGCTGGGATGCAACACAGACACAGCGCCGAAGGGAGTGCAAAAAAATTGCAACAAACCGATTGGCAATGTGCGAGTACGACTTCGAGGACGAGGGTGTGTGTGTGTGTGTGTGTGCGAGGACATCATGCCACTTGGAGGCACATCAAACATCTCAAACGGAATGAATAATTTATAGACGCAATGGAAAGGAGAAGACTGTCGCGTAAGCCAGCTGCAGCACCCACAGCGGCTGAGGCAAGGAGGCTTTTCTGGGGCTTGAATGCCCCCTTTTTCTGAATATATTATAAAAGTTAATAGATAATAGCTTATTGCAACTACTACTACGCCTATTAAGCACCTCACAAAAGCGCTATTTAAAGTATAGTTTAATATCTTTTATGATCCCCGTGATTCCCACGTCACTGGCTACTAGCACACCCCTCAGGAATATACGCATTAGAGGACACACACATTCCATTCATGGATTTCAATGCGACTGACAAAATAAAATGCCAATGCCAGTGCAGAATGTAAATGGCAACCTGAAGTACTCGGGATGCCTTTGCATTTATTTTCATTTTTCGCACCACAACTCTCACATTCGCAGCAAAGTATTCAGCATAATTCCTGTAAAAGGAATTCATTTTGGGCTCACAAAACGGCCAAGTGTCAGTGGATGCACTTGCAGCAAACGGTTTTTGTGCCAGTTGTCGCTCAGTCTTCATTCTAAATACGATTATCGCCCCATCAAGTTACTCATATCCCGTGTCCCAGCCGGTTTGCCATCTTCCATTTCCAAACAAAAAGTTTAAATAAATGACTGCACCAAACTTTACTAATCTGACTGAAAACAAGTGAGAGTCAGAATTGCGGAGCATTTTGACAGAAACCAGAACAGTTGACTTTGACGTCGGTTAGACCGCGCCGCCATGAAATTCGTCAATTTTTTTAAATGCTACCAAGGAGATCGCGACAAAACAACAAATGTCTCGTGAAAAATATTAATTTAACTTTGCGCATTAGCCGAGCAATGAGACTCGTCTGCGGTGGAGACCTGTGGCAGGCACTTTGTGGCAGTAGCTGACCACAAAAAGCGTTGGTTTTGGGGGGATGGTGAGATCCGCACCTGCTGGCTGTAGAATACTCCCCGCTCCTCCTTCATCGAGGTAGACCACAGTTTGTTGTCTATTTGCCTAGGCGAAATTTGATGCGCTGTCGGCTGCTTGCTTTCGTTTTTTTTGTCCGCTGTTGTTCTGTGCTCTCATTATCGTAAATTTTTATGCTAAATACATTTCGTTGTCGGCCCCAAAAACACAAACACCAAAACCGAAAGCGACAGAAAAAATCCGACAGCCTCTTGGAAACAACCCCCGGCGAGGTAATACCCTATTTGAAGGCTATTTAAGGAATGATAGAAATGGAAAACCTTACACTTACAATATAAAACCAATAAGAGCCTTACCTTAAATCTTATTTTTAATCAAATAATATTTACGTTGGATTTAAGGTATTTAACCAAGGCTTGTGATGTAGGAGACACGGCCTTTTGGCATCAAACAAGACAAGAGAACCATCATTTGTGGCAGCTGCCGCCACGAGGAGCCGATTCGACCAATGGCCTGCACCATCAGGGGCGGGCTTGAGCTCGCTGACAAATTTAACCATTTAAAGTGGGATTTGTGAGTTTATTCTTGGCCATAGAGAAGCCTTTATTCGCCGAAATGTACAAGAGACACATGATCCGGTACCCGTGTTTAGAAGTTCATTCATCTAGAGAAGTTTACCACCCAATATCCTGCTCCTGGTGGTCCTTGAGCCGGATGTACAGCTGCAACGAGGTTATTGGCTCTTTAAATGGATGTGGAATTAATAAATTTGGGTTATGTTATTCTTTCAAAAATATCTTTCTGGTCGTACAACTAATTCTAGCAAACTATACAAACGTAATCCAGCGAAGAAAATTTCAAAAAAACCAAGCAATCTTATCATTATGCATAAGTCAGTACAACTATAATTATTTCTCGGCTCATACACAAGTCAAAAAATCACAAAGCTATGGAAGATGTCAAAATTTTAATAGTACTGTTCCTGTATTGGGTAATAAATGCAAATACTTTAATTCGAGGGCAGAGTAATCCTGTACACACCATGTTGATTGCAGTTCTCGGCAGTGCAGGGTTGTGGCCAGGGTGCACAGATTGGCCTCGATGAGCACAATCGACTGAGAAAATTACACGGGGTTCCTGACCTCACCTTAAATGAGGGCCTATGCAAGAGATCCGCCGAATATGCTGAGGTGCGTTCCAAAATTATTTAAGGTACTTTGGGTAACCCCTTTGATACACAGGAATTGGCGCAAAAAAAGAATTTGCAGCATTCAGAGGCCAAGGGCGAGTACGGTGAAAACCTGTGTTTCCGCTCGCACAATCCCGAGAAATGTGTTCAAAATTGGTACGATGAAATCCATTTGTATGACTTTTCGAACCCAAAATTTTCATACGCAACCGGACACTTTACGCAACTGGTATGGAAAGCATCAACCGACTTGGGTTGGGGGGAAGCCCAGGATTCCGATGGGACCACTTACGTCGTGGCGATGTACACCCCGTCCGGCAACGTAAATGGGCAGTTTGAAGAAAATGTTCCCAGGGCTAAGTACGTTTTTTCACCAAGATTTTAAGACAATTTTTAATATTCTATTGATTTTAGGAATTCGGCATTAGGCAAGATTACGGTTTCAATTAGTGCAATGATTGTTTCAATCTGTTTCGGACTGCTAAATCTAGCAAACTGACTTTCATAGCTGTAAACTTTTTGTAAATAATAGATACGGCATATTATAATTTTTCACAAGAGAATGAATGCTGTTTATATTAAGTTCCAGGCAACAATCGGTTCACTAGAATATATAATATGTTAGTTGAATTACTTTGAACAAATTTAGATTACAGTGATTAAGGGCCACTATTTTATTGTCGATACAGGAAAGCTCTCTGGAACTTCAAAATAGTGAAAATCCACTCACGATTTGACGATTGAACTCGCTTAAACTGGATACGCTTGCCATCGCGTTGAATGACAACGGAAAATGAAGTAAAATCTAATTAAAAACCTTTGCCCGATGCTGAACGATGTGAAATCACAATTGTCAGCGTAAAATTCACGCACACCTGCACACACACTCGACACACTCAGATGGACAAACACCAGCGATTTCCCATACGCAAACAAACTGAGGATTCCGAATCCGAATGGAAGGGAACGGAGCGGAGTCCTGGCAGGTGAAAAACAGACGTCGGCTGTCCGATTCACGAATAGAATGCGGAATCCGACAAAAACAGAGCAAAAGTTTGGTCAGACAAAAAAAAAGGCAAGGTGAATTGCCACCGCCAAATGTTTCTCGTCCTCCGGTTAGGAAGCTATTGGAGCGGCAGATGGTACAGTGATACCAACTTAATCCAAAGAAATAATTATTATTATAAAAAAATCGTAAACTTCTAAGGTAGTCAATGGAATAGTATACTACCCAATCGATAGCTCATTAAAATCAGGTGAAAATTACGCTTTAACTGGATTACAATACAGATGCCCTAATCGTGCTTTTACGGTTTTAATTTCAGGGCAATTAGTTTACAACTAAACAATATCTCGTTTAATCTTAAACAGTTGCCCGGCATCACTGTTCGATAGGACTGGGGGAAGATAACCTCCGGGAGCGAATGAAACGCGCTGTTGCACACGAAAAATAACAAGCTGCGTTGGTCAATTCATCGAATGTCGGTCAGGGCTGCCACCAGGGAGGGAGTGGGAGGGACTAGACTAGAGCTTGGGTCGGGGTGGAGCTATAACATGGAGCAGGGTTAGATCACCTGCCCGGGGGTCAAGTAGTGGGGCGCCATTAAAGTTTCGCACCCTGGCATTTGGACGGCATTGTTCGCAGGCCCAGTGGGAAGCTGTGTTTGCTCTGTTGGAATTATAAGAAATTAGTTTAGTTATGCCAACGTCCCCCAGGTCTGGCTATTGAGTTATCAGCTTTGTGCGAATGGGACAGCTATGGCCATGAGCCAACTCGCAACTCAAAGCCCGGAAGGATAAATTGCATTTATTATGCAATTTTTTTGTCCCAGTTTGTGTGTGACCAAATGCGTGAGTGTGTGTGTGTGAATTTTTCACCAAATTGCGAAAATTTGCGTGTTGCTCTGCTGATATTGGTTAACCATTATGTGGCTGGAATATGCCATTTCCATTTTAATGCCAGTCTTGGCAACAATTCAACTCGTCGACTCTTTGGCGACTATTTTCCATTTATTCCCAGTACAGTACAGAACTCCTGGGAAATGTGCTCAAATTGTGATTGGATTTTGGCCAATAAAAAATATATAATAAATAAGTAAAAAACATTAGGAATCAAGTGATACTTTTTACCACAATTTATGCTGCATAGTTTATAGCAATAAAAAGCCTAGCAGCTCAACATTTCTCTAAATTGAAGTGCAAACTATTAAAGTCCAGAGGTATTTTCCCCCATATCTCGTGGCACTTCCGTTCGCCTCCCATAACTAATAGTCGAACCATATATGGCTCATAATGATGATGATGGATCCAGCGAACTGTATAGTGAAAATATGTGGGTCTAGTGGGGATATTAAAGCGCGCCTATCAAGCCCGAACACAATAAATCTTCGTCACGGCCCAAATTGACATTTTACAGCCAAAAACCAGAAACCAAAGCCGTGCGAAGGACAAAGTAAGTTCCACCGTCCGTGCTCCGCCTGCTTTGTGTCGCCACTGATATTGTTGTCAACAATGATGGCCCAAAGCATCAGCCACATGCGTTGCGGCAACAGCTCATCCTTCCATAAAGCACCAGAACACACATGGCTGCCAAAAGCCAAACTTTTATTGCCACGGCTCCATAGAGCCACAGCAGGGTAGTGGCAGCGGCAACAGCAGCAGCAGCAGCAGCAAAATTTAATATCCTATGCAGGACATGTGGATTGGGGGCGTGGCCCTAATAGAGTTAAACCGCTGCCGCTGACGATCAGAACTCATCGCATTACCCTTTGTCCATGTGGCGGTTACTCGCTCAAAATAATATCACATGGGCGTCTCCGAAAAAAGCACTGGGAGAAAAAAGTAGGAGTAGTATTTTTGGATCGAAGATAATTTGTTGATCCCACAAATCTTAATGATCCGTCTATGACTCCTGTTATCCCTGACATAAGCCCAGGCTCGCAACGGCTTCTACAACGTCGTGGTACACCCCAAGCAGAAACATATTGGTTTTCTTTGAACTTGAACTCCATAGTTAGTTGCCTTACCAAGGTCTTAAAGCCATTTATAATATTTTGTTGATTTCAGGGAACGAAAAACCACAGATATTCCTTGCATTAGTACTTGTGCGATTGTTCAAATTAATATATTTAAGCGACTAAGGCTCGATTTTCCAAAGATACCCCTAGTTTTTTATCTGACTAACAACTAGTTGTTGTAGCTTAAACATTTTTCAGTCAAATAAAGTCACATTGGGGACTACATTTCTCCGAAAAAAAAACAATTTACCTTAATGACAATCGTTAAAGTCTGGTAAACTTGTGGCTAAAATGTAGTAAACATATTTTTTCTCTGTGTCATTTGGAAACTGCTTTTCACGCGGTTCTCTAATGTGCAAGGCATCAAACCTCCAACCAACTGTCAACGCCATACACAAATTGCCGCGATTAAGGGTCAGCTCGATGGATTCGCTCATAAGGAGCTACTTCTGCTTTTAAAAAATGGTAAGCACTATAAAGTTTAGGAAGGCTTAAACATTCAGAATCAACTTTAGCCTCTAACTTAATTGCCTATAAGGTAATTTGTAACCTCAATAAGAGTATTAGAAGAAGTGCAGCTTCAGCTTTGAGACTGTAAGGAAAGATTAAATACTTTTAATTTGAAATATAGAAAAAACTACATAAGCTTGGTAAAGTAGATCTTATTATTATATTTTCAATTATAGATACTAGACCTAAAATCGCACAGTTATACTTAATTTGAACGTATAATTTTATCCTAAAATTTCATAAACAATTTCTTATTTACAAAATTTTTTGAATCAAAGTAAATGAATTGGAATTTGGATTTTTTAAAATATTTCTTTGTATACCTCCAGTTTTAAAGAGCTAGTGGCACTGGCGGCCTTGTGGGACTCTGTTGGATTAATTTGAAATCGTACGATAAGGATATTCAATTTTTTTCCGCATTGCAATCGAGTGTGAGCTCGGTCGAGTTGCCCTGTCGTTTTTTTGCCGGCATTTTCTTTTCTTTACTACTTATATTATCTCTTATTTTTGGCAATCAGCATCAGCCAAGGGAATTCCCCATTGGCCGTGCCGGTGTCAACAAAAAGGCGGCGAAGAGTCTGACTCAGATTCGGATTCAGTGATTCTGCTGCCGCGTTCGTGGGATTGTAATTTAACATTTTGCCGTTGTTTTCCCAACATATCTGCTCCCATGTGGATGTCGAGCAGCTGCCGGGAGCGCATTAAATCCTTAAGCACACATTATTATTCAATCAGATATGGAGTCGAATGCCTTTTTTGCTTGGCTCCGCTTCCTGGCTGGCTGTGTCTTGCGTGGGCACCTAATGACATTCAAATTGCTTCCATCTCCGGTCGCTTTCAATTGAAAACACCTTCAACAAAAATTAATGGAATTATAGATCACAACGTCCAGGGGGACTTTGGATCCCCAGATACTTGCCAGAATTTAAATAAAATGGAGAGTTCAGCTTAAGGAAATAAACAATCAACGCGACACTAAAACTCAATTAAATTTTTATATTAAATCTATGAATGGTAAACAATTAATTATAAATATTTCATTATTAATGTAGGAGATATAATTATTGGTCCGATATATTGGGTTCTTTCCTAATTAATCAGTACTTCTTTCGGTTCCCTTTAAAAATATGCTGAAATAAGTACCGAGTTATTGTTAATAACTTTATTTCGAAGCTCCAACAAAGTAATTTATTTGAAGCACTTCCACCATTTATCCATCGTCACTTCATTGGAGCTTCAGTTCACGAAGGAGACGAGTTTGTCAACTATTTACAACTTGAACTTGGTCGTTAAATTTATGTGACTCGTAAACGCCGAAAGTTCGGGCAACGCAGAGACAAAATGTTGTGAAATCAAATTTACACACAAACCATCCCTAATGACCTAGCCCGCAAACAGAACGGAAACGCGAAGGCGCTGCTCCCGAAAAGGACGAAGAAGAGCCTGACTGGAGGGCAGGACTTCATTTCGCCGGACTCGAAATTGTTTAATTTTGCCCGCGCTTAATTATCTGCAGTGTGCCGGGTGCTTAAATTATAATGGCGCTGACCTAATTGGGTAATAATTAAAATTAAGTGCATGCTAAATTGTTATTAATTATAAAGTGCACGCGAAGATGCCACCAACTTCCATCGATCGCGTGCAGAGTGATACTAAAAGGGGGAATCGAGGGCAAACGATAGTTTGTTGCAAGTGTCGCCAAGTGGCGAGCTGCATGCTGAAAGTTATAGTCAAAAACAGACAAATAAGAATTGAATTTCCACTCTATGCTTCATGCTAAATATTTCCTGCTTCTTAAAGGGGAGAGTGTCTTAAATTAATCTATAAACATAAATATTATTTAGATTTTATTTCGTTGGCGATTAAATTGAATGGCCACAATGACTAATAGCTGTGTTCAGAAATTAAATGCGGCAACGAGTCGCAACTAATGCAATTCCAACCTCACGCAGATAGGAGAAACTCCGGCGGTTGCAGTGACACATTTCAATATAAATTATTGTCAATGGGAGTGCATAAAATGTCGCATGTAGCTG